GGGCGGCCTGTGTAGCTGCTGAGAACGTGGGTCCTGTGCTGCCTCCTTCTCCCCTCCCTGGCTGCCACTCCCCTCCTCACGATTACCTCCCATTTGTACAAAGCGCAATCTCCTCTCCGGTGCCCACTGAGTGGACCACCTGAAGCAGACAGGCCAGGGCACCCGGCCAGCAGTGCAGGCGCCAGCTTCCCTTCTGCAGTTGAGAGACTGGCTTTTACAGATACGAATGATGCCATCTCGAACACTTAAAACCAGAAGGGTCTGCAACCCACTTTTGTTTAAATAGCGGAGGCCCCAGGACACCTCCATCTCCCTCCACCCCTCTGCCCCCCCCACCTCCTGGGGTGGGAAGGAGGCTTCCTGAGACATGCAGACCCTTTAGGCTTTGGAATCCGCAGGCAGCCCCTCAGTTGCAGGGTCCGTCTGTTGGACTCATAGCGGTCCTCTAGGGCAGAGCAGAACTGCCCCCTTAGGGTTTTCAAGGCTGTTATCTTCCTGGAAGCCGACTGCCACATCTTTCTCCCACGGAGTGGCTGGCGGATTCAAACCTCCGACCTTTAGGTTAGCAGCTGAGCACTTAACCACTGTGCCACCAGGATCCTTTGTTTCTCAGGGCTCAGCAATTGATCCTCATGTCAGGGGGTCACCAGGAGTATTTTCTGGGGAAATTAGAGCCACTGATGCTGCTGCTTTGACCCCGTGACAGCCTCACAGAAGGGTTCTGAGCGGTGAGAAAGCTGCCCCAGGAGTCATGCCCCTAACTTTGCTTCTGTTGCATTTTTTTTTTCCTTTTTTTTTTTTAAATTAGGATTTGGGTGAAGATTTACAGAGTAAATTCACTTTTCATACAGCAGTTCACATATACTTTGTCTCATGTCATTGACCAAAATTTACAAGGCAGCAGCTCCCCTCCCACTTCCTCCCCATAGTTACCTCCTCCCAGTGTCCATCCCTTCATACTCTTCTGCACCCTGAGCTATCTCCCTGTGCATAAGCAGCCCTTCCTTCTCCCATGATTGTTCTCTCCAGGGCGTGTGTCTACTTGAGGTAAATGTTTAACTCACATGCCTGTACTTTGTTTGGCTGGAAACCACAGTTGTGGGTTCAATTCCAGACCTGAAGGGCAGCTAGGGGCCATAGTCTCAGTGGTTACACCAGGCTCCATTGGACCAGCAAACCTGGTCCCCACCTTCTTTTTTTTTTTTTTTTTTTTTGCCTCCAAATGATTTTGAGTTTTGTACCACATTGTTCTCCCTCTTTATGCAGGATCTCCTACATCCCTTCCAAGTGGATGGCAGTGGTAGCTGGGCACCATCTAGTTCTTCTGGCCTCATAGTTGTATAGGTTGCAGATCGGATGGTGTACCAGTCGCTAGGACTGATTGTTTCCATTAATTTTGGTTTTCTTCTTTCTTCTTGACGAGGAGAGACCCGTTGTTGCATCTAGATGGCAGCTTCCTAGCTTTTAAGGTCCCAGTCGCTACTCGCCAAAGTAGTAGGTGGAACAATGTTTTGTATAGTATGTTATGCCAATTGAGATTGATGTCCCCTGCGACCATGGTCCCAAGCCCGCAGGATCAACTACTCGGTCCCTCTGGGTAGCTGGCTGTGACCAAGTAATGACCATAACCTTGCCCCTTGTCAGCTCTACTATACACTTGGGAATTCTGATCATTCACTGGCTCTCCTTTCTTGATGGTAGTGAGAGCTCCCTTTCCACCTCTGGGAGGGCTCATTTTAAGTCTAGGAGGATGTCAAAACTGACCAATCCCCATAGTAGGGTTCCATACACCTTATTTGCATGGCTCCAACCCCGCCAGGGTGCCATGCACCTTATCTACATTACTAGGAAGCTCTCTAATCCCCTTTGCTGGGCCACAAGCACCTCACATCTGCATAGCGCCACCCTGTGTCACCTGGTGGGATCGAGGACTGTGACCAGAAAGGCCACTTGAAATAATTCCTGCTGAAATAAGTGCTACTCAGAAGGGCTGGAATTGACTACACAGCAACTGGTTTTTGGAGTCCCTGGGTGGTGCAATGACTACTAATGAAAAGGTTGGCGGTTTGAACCCACCCAATGGCCCAGGAAAGAAAGATGTGGGAATCTGCTCCCAAAAGGTAACAGCTTTGAGAACCCTACAGGGCACACCTCTGCTGACACATGGGGAGGCCAGGCGCTGGAACTGATTTATGACAACTGGTTTGCTCTTGGTGTCGTACTTAATACTTGGATACATACTGGCTCTTGACCCAGTCGGCTGGCCCCCATCCCTCCCAGTTCCCAGAGGTCCTGGCGGGGGTGGAAGAAAAAGGGGGTCGAAGGCAAGGGGTTGATGCAACCCCCCTCCCATTTGTTCACCTTCAATGGAGTGCAACATGTGAAAGCTGTGGGTCCGGCCAAGTGGATTTAAGGATTATAGCATCTAGTTTAGGAGCTCCGGTAGCATAGTGGCTAAGACACTTGCCTGCTAACCAGACGGCTGGCGGTTCAAACCCACCAGCCACTCCTCGGAAGGAAGGTTGGGCAATCCTACTTCCGTAGTGATACTGCCTTGGAAACCCAAGGAGGGGTCGCTATGAGTCGGGGCCGACTTGACGGCACATAACAACAACAAACAACAGCATCTAGTTTTAACCAAATGAATCCTCCAACACAGTCAAGTGTAAAGAAATGGTAACCCACTCACAGGTGAGCAGCAACAGAAGGGGCAGCACTGACCTTCCTCATCCCCATGCAGCCTGGTCATCACCCACCCATCATCAAGCAAGCCCCCTGCAAAACAAACTGGCCAACCAGAAACCTGTTTGAAGTACAGACCACTCCCCCGCCCCCACGGTTACTGGTAAACCTGCGGAGTGCATTATGCCTCGAGAGATTCGTCTACAACAGCGTGAAACCTTCCTGATTGGCGAGGCGTTTAAAACCCAAGCCTTCATAATACGAAGACAAACCTCTGCAATCTCTTTTTTCCAGCAATGTTTAAATTTATGTGCTGTTCAACTCAGGACTTTTTTTTTTTTTTTGCTATTTCCCTAAGCAAGGATAAATATTTGGAAAGCCCTTGTAAAGTTTCCTGTATAATAAAAGACACAAACATCTACCACCGGGCAAAGCAGGGAAACACTTTATTCTTTCTGCCGCAGTAAAAATGGCAGAAGGAATGAACAGAAAATGATCTGTCGACACACCGAAAGGCATTTCTTTGTTAGCAAATACTGCTGGAAGATGTAGAGAAAACACCGTAGATTGGAAGAAACGTGTTAGAGTAAATTACTCAGTGTGGGAGGTTTGCTACACAGTTGTTGAAAGGACAGATGCTCCTAGCTTGTCTCAGTTTAAGGTGTTTGCTGGGTTCTGTTCTAGTGATGAAATACACAAAGCACTTTTACTGGGCATCTGAACCAGGAAAGGTAGGAGCAAGGGTTTTCCCCCACCGTGGCTGGCTTGTTTAATGCCATCGGGGGAAACGGGTGCGAGTGTACCCATCAGTGGAAGGGAAGGTTTTTCATGAAAAGGATTCTGGGATAGAATGAGGATGCAGAGTATTACCACAAAGCTCCCTCATGGGCTGGTCCAGTGAAACCTTTGTAAGGAAAAGAACAGCTCCCAGGCACAGAGTGCAGGGCATTGTTGCTGGTTTTGGTCCAATCGATTCTAGCTCCTGGTGCCTCCGGGTGCACCGAGGAGAGCTGCTGCATAGGGTTGAAGGCTGTGACCTTCTGGAAGCAGGTGGCCAGGCCTTTGTTCTGAGGTGGTGCGTTCAAACCTCCACTTTTTTGGGAAGTGGTTGAATAGTTAACCATCTTGCTACCCAGGAACTCCAGGAGATTATCAGTAAAACCAAGTTCTGCTAGACTAGGATATATACAATCCTTGCTAATAAGTTTAGGAGTGACTTTGACAACTGACCAAGCCACATAAGAGGAGGTGTCTAGAGCGTTGTAGGCCCTCTGCTCCTTTCCTCCTTCTTCCTAGCCCCCTTCTTCTTAAAGACAACTGTGCTGACATTTTGTGAGGTGACAAGGACTGTCAATCTCAGACACCCAGTAGACAGCTCTCCTTCCATCTGTCCCTTCACTGTAACGATGCCCTTTTAATAAAAAGAACAAGTAACTGTTTTTGAATGAAAACTCATGCTAGAGAGCTTTTCTTTTAAGAAAAAGGAAAGATGTTTGGATATATTCTCATTTAGGTGATTTTACGGCTAACAATGTGACCATCTGACCAGTAAGACCTCTCACATTTGTAACTTGGAGGCAGAAACTGCAGTCTGTTTTTATTTACATATAAATCACGGGGGGTAAGGCCACCCTTTAGAATATACAGTGGTTTTCAGGATCTCCACAGATGCTTCAACCATCACCACCAGCTAATTCCAGAAACTGCTTTCAAAATTTTGCTTGAGTTTTGAATCCATTTGTACAACACACAAGCATGGCCTTGCCGTCCGCAAGAGCGTCTGTGGGCCTTTGTGTCTGGCCCGTACCCCGGGGGTCCGGGGCGGAGCACAGCCCAAAGCCTTTTCGCCAGCAGACGCAGCTGCTCGCTGCTCCGGGCCTGTTGCAGGGCTGGAGGGAACCACGCGCCCCGACCTGCCCGCGCCCAGCCCGAGGGTCGAGGTCCCTGTTAGGCCAGAAGCCACAAAAGTGCAGCACGAAGTGTGGGACTTAACTCGCCCGGTCCTTCCCCTGGGAGCCGCCAGCGGTGCGCGCCGCCTCCCTTCCTGGACCGCGAGGGTGTCCGAGGCGCTGACGCTGGGGGCGGGGATCCGGGAGCGGCCGCAGGGAGCCAAGGGTGTTGCAACACGGTTCCCACTGGCTCCTAGGTCTGCCTCAGGAGCCTGCGGGCCTGGAGGCCCTCACACCCCGCAGTCCCGCGCCCTCAGGGGGCCCCAGGGTAGCAGCTGGGCCGGGGCACTGGCGGCCCTGGAGAGGGGGAGGCTGGGGAACACAGGGGTGGGCGCGGGAGCCCGGCTGCGGGCTGGGGGCAGAGGGCCGTCAGGGCGCGGCGTGCGCCAGTAGGAGCGGCAGCAGCAGACCCGCAGGCAGCAGCAGCCGCGACGAGGAACCGGCGGGAGGCGCGGCGCTGGGGGTGCTGGCCGGGGGCGCCAGGCCGCAGGCCGTGTAGGGCTCCAGGCAGGCGGCGAAGGCCATGACGTGCGCCACGAAGGTCTGTTCCTGCACCCCGTGCACCAGGTGCGCCTGCGGCCCGCGCGCGAACACCGCCACGTCCTCGCCGCCGTGCGTCTCTGACGACAGGGGCACAGCCGCCTGCTGCTTGTACCCGGGGTTCTCTGGTGGGAGGCAGGAGGCGGGCGGGGCTCAGGGCCGCCGCCCCTCGCGGTCTCCTCCCTGCGTCCCCACCTCGGTCCCCGAACTCACCGCTCTCGGTCGCGCTGACATCCGGACGGCTGCCCGCGCCGATCAAGTAGCCAGGCCCGTTGCCGTACAGGATGGAGGTGTAGGCCTTGCCGTCCGAGGCCTTGCTGTTCGCCAGCCCTGCGAGGAGGGCGAGCGACCACCGATGGCACCACAGACAGCGTGGGCCGGCCTTGCTGCCTGTTCCCAAAGGCCCTTCAAGGCCAGGCCTGTTAGCCCGCCATTTGATGCAGAGGAAACTGAGGCCCAGCCATATTCCTGTCCTATAATTTAAGGGAGGAGCTCTGGTAGCACAGTGCCTAAGGCACTTGACAGCTAACCAGAAGGCTGGCGGTTCAAACCCACCAGCCACTCCTCGGAAGGAAGGTTGGGCAATCCTACTTCCGTAGTGATACTGCCTTGGAAACCCAAGGAGGGGTCGCTATGAGTCAGTCGGGGCCGACTTGATGGCAAATAACAACAACAACAACAACATAATTTAAGGGACAGCCCCTTAAATTATTAGGTCTCCTGGAGCCTACCGAAGATGGAGCTCCCGCGAAGGGTGTAGCCACCGAAGGAGAACACGTGGGAGTGGTCGGCGGTGATGAGGGTCAGTGTGTCCTTCTCGCTTGTAAGCTGGCCGGCCTTCTCAATGGTGGAGTCGAACGCGACAGCCTCGGTCAGCGCCAGGTACGCCTTGCCCTCGTGGTGGCCGTGGTCAATGCGGCCCCCTGCGGACGGCCAGGGGGCGGTGGGAGGCCCTGGAGCCGCCCTCAGCCCCTCCTGCTCCCTCCCTTAGCCCCTCACTCACCCTCCACAAACAGGTAGAAGCCCTGGGAGTTTCTGCTCAGCAGACGCAGGGCAGCCTCAGTCATCTCCTCCAGAGACGGGTCCTGGTTGGGGTCTCGGTTTATGTCGTATTTCATGTCTCCGGGCTCAAAGAGGCCTGAGGGCCAAGGGGTCGTGATTGGGGTTGGAAGGGGTGCAGGGGGAGCAGGTGGTGGAGCCTGACCAGCTGGTCAGGGCGGTTAGGTGGGGTGTGGGGTGGGCTGTTACCCATGAGGTGTGTCACCGAGCGGTCCATGGATGCCTCGAGGAGCGCTGTGCGGTTCCACACATAGCGGGCACCCTGGAGACAGGACCAGGCTTCAGTCCACAGCCTTAGGGGTCCTGGCCCCTGCTGCCTCCCCCTGGGCCGAGCCCCTGCACCCACCAGCCCCCGTCACCTGGTGCTTGTCTAGCCACTCCTCTACCAGGTTTCGGCCATCCTGTCTCACTCCCCTCTGGTTGGGGTACTCAGGGTCTGGGGAGTCCTTGGGAAACATGTACTGGCGGCCGCCGCCCAGGATCACCTGGGATCACAGGGAGAGGCAGGTGGGCTCTGGGCCTGTCCGGCCCTGTGCCCACGCCTCAGACAGCTTCTAGCTACACCTCCCTGCCACACACTGCTCCCAGGCCAGGTTTTTGTGAGAATGGCTTGTTCCCAGCTGTACTGTACCGTTTACATCCCTCCCAAGCCCTCCCCCTCCAGCCAGCCAGACGTTGCCAGGCCCCAGGCTCAGGCTGCTGGCTGCCTGACTGGGGCTCCCCCCACCCCCGCCCCGCTGCCCAGCCCTGGCTGGCCGTGTGTTCGCACGTCAATGTCCGTGTTGGAGATGAGCTGTGTGGCGATGTCCTGGCAACCCTCCTTCAGTGCCTGGCTGGGCATGTTAGCATCTGAGTACCAGTCACGGCTCGCCGTGTGTGCGTACGTGCCAGCCGGTGAGGCATGCTGCACTCTTGTGGTGGTCACCACCCCCACAGACTTCCCTGAGGGTGGCAGAGGTCAAGGTGGGTGGCTGAGCTCCAGGGCTGCCTCTGACCCCACAGCCCGGGCCCCCAGCCCACCTGCTTTCTTGGCCCGGCTCAGCACAGAGATGACCTCGTTGCCGCGGGTGGTGTTGCACTGGCCTACGCGGGCAGCCGCGCTCAGACCGATGGTCTGGTAGTTGCCCTTGACCCCACACAGGTAGGCCGTGGCTGTGCCTGCGCTGTCTGGCACCTGCCTGTCCACGTTGTATGTCTGGGAATAGGGGAAGCTTTAGCTCAAGCTCTGGGGCGCACACTCAGATGGTCCCTGGGCCCCTCCTCATCTGTACCCCAACCCCCGGGCCACTAACTCAGGCCCACCCTCTGGGGCCTTCTTCCCGTCCTTACCTTGGACAGAGCCACGTATGGGAAGTGGTCCATGGCCAGGGGTGTCTCAGGCCCCAGACTGCCATTCAGCTGCCCTTTTAGGATCCGAGTGGCTGTCACTGTGGCCACCCCCATCCCTGAAGGAGAGGGACCCTGTCAAGCTTGAGCCCTCAGGGCTGGCTGTGGCCACTGGCAGCCCAAGGTCCCAGGGTCGTGGGGGTCCCAGGTGGGCAGGCCTCCCACACTCACCATCTCCCAGGAAGAGAATGAGGTTCTTCGCAGCAGTCTGGATGGGCTGGAGGTTCTTGGCAGCGTCCAGGGCCACCGCCGCCTGCCGGTTCCAGAAGGCTGGGTCTTGCTCCTCAACTGGCCGTGGGGAAAGCGGAGGCTGGGTCAGCCTGGGGCAGGCCCTGTTTGTTGGGGTGAAGTTGGGTGGGGTGGGGGGCCCTGTTACCTGGGATGACACCAGATGAGGGCTGTAGCCCCAGGCTCAGTAGCAGCATTAACAGCAGCGGTGGCAGTGGCCCCGGGGCCCCCTGCATGTCTGTGGGGCGGTGAGGCTGGGCCACCCGGAGGCTGAGACCCAAGGTACCAACTACTGTACCAGCTACTGGGCTGAGTCAGGGGAGAACTTTGTCCCCAACTGTTAAAGGCTCCATGTCCCACCCAGTGCCCCAGGCAGCAATGCTGACCCCGCCCCTGCCCTGTGACCTGCCTTGCTGTGGAAGCGGTATGGGCAGGGTGTGTCTGAACTGGCCTGGGGCAGGGGTCTTAAAAAAGACAGGGCCAACCTAGCAGATGGGGGACTTGGGGGTGGGTCTGGATGAGCCTTATGACAAGCAGGGGCATGTTGGGGGGCAGATGGGAGTGTCTGTGGCTCAGGTGGTGTGGTGGGCCTGGTAGGGACAGTACTTGGGGATGCGTGGCCCCTCATTCACCTCCTTTATTGGGCATTTCCTAATGTCTGCTGGGGGCCAGACAGGTGCAGAGAACAGAGTCTGGGGTGAGGGACTGGGCTGGCTACCTGAGGCCCCTGAGCCCAGGAGACTTGGGCAGCAGGCATGGGGAGGTCTGGTGTACCCTACTATCTATCAGCTTCTCATCTGGAGGGTCCGTATGGGAACCTGGTCTCCAGTCCCTTTTCTGTGGAAAAGGGTGGGTCTGGCAGGGGCAACAGCTTGCGGTCCTTGTCTGGTCTCCAGAGGCTTGATCACCAGGGAGCACCTGCACCTGAAGGGATGGATGCCATGGGTCTTTTCGAGGGGACGGCAGGCCTATTAGGAGCCCTGGTGGCACCATAGGTTAAGTGCTTGGCTGCTAACTGAAAGGTTGGTGGCTGGAACCCACCAGCTACTCCAAGGAAGAAAGATGTGGCAGCCAGTTTCTGTAAAGAGTACAGCCTTGGCAACCCATGGGGGCAACTCTCCTCTGTCCTCTAGAGCACTGTGAGTCAGCATTGACTCCACGGCAGTGGGTGTGGTTTGGGCTTTGCTTCCGTAAAGATTACAGCCTTGGAGACCCTCTGGAGACCACTCTGTCCTAAAGGGTGGAAATCTACTGTACAGAAAGAAGTATGGACAGGCCTGTGTCCTTGGGATGGAGCCTGGAGCCTTGCCCCCTTGAGTAAGTTGGTGGAGCCTAGGGGTGAGTCTTTCTTCCTTTAGGCCACACTCACTCCCAGAGATTTCAGTCTGATTAGGAGCTAGAATGTCCCTGGAGCCTCAGGCTAGATCTAGAAGCATTCATCCAAGTCCCGCCCACCCTAACTGGCCATACCTCTTGAACCACAGACACCCCCAGCTCCCAGGGCAACCTCCCTTGCTCCCTAGCATCTTTGCGCCCTGCCACACTCAGGGCTTTTGCAGACCCTCCTCTCTGGCTCGACTCCCTGCCCACTCACTGTCTGCTAGACCTCAGGAAAAATATCAGCTCCTGAAGAAGCCCCGCCCTGCTAGCAGCCCCCAAGTCACCCTGCGCCCCGTGTGCATCCTGCTGAGCTAGGGGAATGCCTGGTCAAAGGTCAGAGGAGACTAACTTCTGGACAGGCTAGTAATTAATCGCAGTAAATACTACACAAGGCGGAACCTGTACAAGGCAGAAACCTGTCAGAGAAGGGAAACAAATATTTTCCACTAATAGTTGTTAGGTGCTGTGGAGTCCGCTCCGACTCACAGCAGCCCCATGCACAGAACGAAACCCTGCCCGGTCCCACACTATCCGCAATCCTTGCTCTGCTTCAGCCCATCGGGGCTGCCCCGGTGTCAGTCTGTCTCCTTGAGGGTCTTCCCCTTTTTCACTGACCTCTGCTTTACCAGCATGATGTCCTTCTCCAGGGACTGGGCCCTCCTGATAGCATGGCCGAAGTACGGGAGACCAAGTCTGGCCATTCTCACTTCTATGGGGCATTCCAGCTGCACTTCTTCCAGGACAGATTGGTTCGTTCTTCCGGCAACCCACGGTACTTCCAGTATTCTCCACCAACACCACACTCAAATGCATCAATTCTTCTGTGGTCTCCCTTATTCCTTGTGCGTATTTCACATGCATATGAGGTGATTGAAAGCACCATGGCTTGGGGCAGGCATATCTTAGTCCTCAAAGGGACATCATTGCTTTTCTAGCACTTTAAAGAAATCTCTCAGCAGACTTGCTTAATGTCCTTTGATCTCCTCAGTGCTGCCTCCATGGGTGTTGATTGTGGCTCCAAGTAAAATGAGAGCCCTGACAACTTCAGTCTTTTCTCCAGTGGATCGTGATGCTGCTTCTTATCTAGTTGTGAGGATTTTTGTTTATGTTGAGGTGTAATCGATATCAAAGGTTGTAGTCTTTGATCTTCATCAGTCAGGGCTTCAAGTTATCTTCACTTTCAGCAAGCAAGGCTGTGTCATCTACATATTGCAGGTCGTTAATGAGTTGTCTTCCAAACCCGACACTGTATTCTTCTTCATGTAGTCCAGCTACTTGGGTTATTTGCTCAGCACACAAATTGAATAAATATGGTGAAAGGACACAACACTGTGCTCATGAGGAAACCGAACATAGACAAAGATGCAGTGGTTTAAACTGAACAAGTGGATACTGCGCGGTTTCAAATCAGGAAAAGGGTGCATCAAGGTTGTACCCACTAATAGAGAGTGCTAGAAAAAGTGGTAAGACTGCACCTTGACAAAGGCAGGACACACAAAATCCAGAAAAATGGGCAGTCCTGTTGAGTCTTGCTCCCAGGGTTCACTGGAGTGGGTCTTTTTTTTTTTTTTTTTTAATGGCATTCTTCTCAAAATGAAGTTTATTTGGAAGTAATTAGTTTTGTGAACAATTTTTTAAAATAAGTTTTTATTGTAATTTGGGTGAAAGTTTGCAGAGCAAATTCACTTTCCACACAGGAGTTCCCATGAGCTTTCCACACAGCTCATGACATTGACTGCAATTTCCCACAATGCAACAGCTCCCCTCGCACTTCCTCCCCATAGTTGCCTCTTCCCTGTGTCCTTCCCTCCCATGCACTCCTGCCTCCTGAGCTGTCGCCCTGTGCATACACAGCCCTTCTGTTTTCCCGATTGATCTCTCCAAGGAGTGTATCAACCTGATGTAAATGTTCAGCTCATGTGCCTGTGTTTTGTTTGGCTGGAAGCCACAGGAGTGGGTTCGATTCCAGACCTGAAGGCAGCTAGGGGTCATGGTCTCAGGGGTTTCACCAGGTTCCATCAGACCAGCAAACCTGGCATTTTTTTCTTTTTTGATGATTTTGAGTTTTGTTCCACATTGTTCTCCCACTCTGTCCCGGATCTCCTGCACAGTCTGTGTAGTAGGTCTTCTTATCAGGTTAATCCACAGTCAGAAGGCTTTTGCAGTGAAGTCTCTCCCCGTTTTTTTAAAATTGCAATTTTTGTTGAGGTATCTGTAGCTTCGTAAGAAAGAAGGATTGTAAGAAATATTACAGAGATCTCCCTTATTCCCTTTGCCCAGTTGCCCCCAATAACGTAGTTGTTGTTAGGTGCCATTGAGTCAGCTCTGATTCACAGGGACCCTGTGTATCACAGAAGGAAACACTGCCCGGTCCTGCGCCAGCCTCTCAGTCCTTACGATGCCTGCGCCCACCATTGCAGCCACTGTGTTGGTCCATCTCGCTGAGGGCCTTCCCGTTTTTGCTGATGCTCTACTTTACCAGGCATGATATCCTTCTCCAGGGACTGGTCCCTTCTGACAACATGACCAAAGTAGGTGAGACAAAGTCTGGCTGTTCTTGCTTCCAAAAAGCATTCTGGCTGTACCTCTTCCAGAGACAGACTTGTTCATTCTTCTGGCAGTCCATGGTATTTTCAGTGTTGTTCACCGGCACCACAACTCAAAAGCAGCAACTCTTCTTTGATCTTCCTTATTCATTGTCCAGCTCTCACATGCATATGAGTCTATTGAAAATACCATGGCTTGGGTCAGGCACACCTTACTCTTCAAAGTGACATCTTTGCTCCTCAGCACTTCAAAGAGGTCTCTTACAGTAGAATTGCCCAGTGCAATATGATGTCTGATTTCTTGACTGCTGCTTCCATGGGTATTGATTGTGGATCCAAGTAAAACAAAATCCCTGACAACTTCAATCTTTTCTCCATTTATCGTGATGTTGCTTATTGGTCCAGTAGTGAGGATTTCTGTTTTCTTTATGTTCTGGGATAATGATCTTCAGCAAGTGCTTCAAGTCATCTTTCCTTTCGGCAAGGAAGGTTGTGTCATCTGCTTATCGCAGGTTGTTAATGAGTCATTGCATGTGTAGGTTTCTGTAAACACCATGAGTCTACATAGGGGACAGCTCCAACGCTGCAAAGATCCCCATGTTGACCTCTTAGGACCACATCCACTTCCCTCCTGGACAACCAATAAGCTGCCCTCCATTTCTAAAATGTTGTCACCTCAAATATGTAATTTAAATGCAATCATACAGTATGTAACCTTTTTGGGATTGGCTTTTTTCACTTCTCATTACTTCCCCAGAAGAACAAACCCACTGCTGCTGAGTTGATTCTGACTGATGGTGATTCTGTCTTGATGGTGTAGCGGTGAGAGCATTGGGCTGCTAACTAAAAGGTCGGCAGTTCAAACCCACCTGCTGCTCTGTGGGCGAAAGATGAGGCAGTCTGCTTCCATAAAGATTTACAGCCTTGGAAACTCTAGGAGGCAGTTCTACTCTGTCCTAAAAAAGGGTTGCTATGATTTTTTTGCTCAACATACCAAAAAGGAAAAAAAAAATCTATTGCCGTGGAGTTGATTCTGACTCTATGTGTAACAGAATGGAACTACTCCATGGGGTTTCCTTGGTTGTCACCTTTATGGAAGCAGATCACCAGGCCTTTCTGCCCCTGGGTGGGTTTGAACTGCCAACCTTCAGGTTAGTGGTTGAGTGCAAACCCTTTGGCCACCTGAGGACCTTCACTCCATATCATTCCCTGAACACTCATCCAGGGTGATGAACGTATCACTAGTTGGTTCCTTTTGATGGCAGAGTCAT